TTTTTTTTTTTTTTTTTTTTTTTGTACTGGAGAGGACCTAGGGCCTCCACCCTGAGCTGTGTTTCCATTGAGTCTCACTAAGCCATGAAGGCTGGGTTTAAACTTGTAATCCACTCTGGGAAGCTGAGGCAGGAGGATGACGGGTATGTGCCACTCCACCTAGCTCAAGAAAAGACGCCTTTGCCCGTTATGCCGGAGTTTGTGTTTGCAGCTAAAAAGCCACCTAACGTGTGCCTACATGATGGCTGAGAAGTCGTCGTCCACCAGGATCATGCTGGCGGCCTCCTTGCTGACATCCGACCCCGCCTGCCCCATGGCAATCCCGATGTCTGCAGACTTCAGGGCGACTGCGTCGTTCACACCGTCCCCTGTCATGGCCACGATCGCCCCCGACTCCTGCAGCACCTGGAGCAAGTGCGGGCAAGGGGGGTTGTAGCCAAGGAACCCGGTCCAGACCCCTCCCGATGCTGTGCCTTGCACACTGCTGGTGACAGAGATCCGAGACTGCGCCAGCTCCTCCTGCAGCCCGTGAGCATTTTAGCCTCAGCCCCTCACCCACTGGAGGCAGGCTGTCTTTGCGTCAGGCTGTGGGAAGCTTAGTGGGAGTGAGGGACAGGAGGGTTCCTGACCATGGGTAGAGGCCAGTGAGGTCACACCGGTCCCAAAACCTGAACCAGGACGTACCTGTGAGGGTCACATGATTTTGAGAAGCCACTAGTAGAGATTTACCCTGTAGTGCTAAAACCAACAAGGCAAAACCCCCAACTAACACGGGCAAAGCTCAGCTGCCAAAGACTCTGGATTTGGTCCCCACTTCTCCCCACATTTGGCTGGGCAGGGGGCTGCCCTGCTAGAGGTGACGCTTCCCAGCATCCCTTGCAACTAAAGCTGGCCAGTGGACAACATTCCGGCCCACCCTGGATGTCACCGAGGGACCCATGAGGTCCCAGAGCTGACAGCAACACAGCTGTGCCCCCTGCCTGGCATACCTTGATGATCTTGAGCTTGTGCTTCGGGCTGGTCCGAAAGAACACAGACACCTGCATGTGGCAATGCCAAAGAACAGTCAACACGTATGACATCGCCGCCCTACCGTGTGGGGTGCAGCTGTGTCACGGGGCCTCCGAGTGGGAAAGCAGGCATATTCTGGGTATGTCTGGGCGGGTCACGGGCATGGCCTGGGGCTCTGCCTGCTGCTCCTCCCTCCCTCCCAGCACTGTTTCCTGCCCCACTTCCTATTCCTCGTGAACTAAGCATTTGTCTTCCACCCTGCCCTCCCTCTACGATGCTCTTGCCATGAAGCCAGCCAGCCAACCATGGACTGAATCCCCTGTAACCAGGAACCAAATCCAGCCTGTCCCCTGGCACTGTGGATGCCAGGCGATGGAATGCAGACCATCGGGAACCCACCTCCCTGATGAGGGCCGCCAGCTTGCCCGGCTCTGTGCTCTCCACTTCTTCTCCGGACATGGCTCGCAGCTTCCCATGGCACAGGCCAATGTCTCTTCCTGCGAAAGAGTCCACGTTGGGGGCTCGTTTGAGGCCCAGGAATGGTCCCCGCCCTCGCTGTCACCCCACCTACCTGATATCCGTCTCCCTCCTGGCAGCAGAGAATGATAGAAAGAAAACCACAGTGGGTACCCTTTACTGAGCCATTTACTATGGTGCCAGGATCTCAGTTCCACCCGCAGCACTGACAAAAAGACCTTACGCTGCGCAGTTTAAGGCACCTCGTTCTGGTACTCCTCCCAGGCGTGGGTGCTCTGTGGCACCAGGGGGCTGCTGGGAGGGCCGGAGGGCCCGCCCGCCCTCGTGGGAAAGTGGCACCCAGGCCCTCACAGATGGGACTGGGCCGCTGGGGGCTGGCTGGGGACAGAATTTTTTCCAGTTTCTCCAGCAAATGGAGAAACTGTAGACAGCAACATGGGGACCTAACATGGTTCTGTCTGCTAAAGCCTTTTCACAGCACAAGGTTATCTCAAAGACGATGGACAACAGCATGTACAAGCACCATCACGGGTGGCAGCAGGAAACCTGCCCATCCTCTGCCCATGAAACACCAAGGGTCAGAGGGGTCAGTGCTTCCCAAGTGTGTGGGGCTGGGGCAGAGGCCAGACTGAAACAGTACACTGTACCCGCTGCCGCCCGCACACGGTGGATCTCAGTTAACACAGGGACGCCTGTCCCCTTGGGAGAACCTGCTGGTGTCTTGGAAGCAGAGCCAGCTGGGGAAGCAGCGTAGCGGGTGCCGATCGGCCGTCTTGGAGGCCTTTCTGAGCCCTGCAGTTGGGTGGGACTCTCCCGACTGGTTCCCCGGGGATGGCCCTGCAGCGGCAGAGCCACGTGCAGGAAGGTGGCCCCTCCCCATTACCTATGGCTGTGGCTGTCTCCAGAGCATCTCCCGTTATCATTTTCACCAACACCCCCGACTCTGAGAGCACCCGGACCGCTTCCTTCACGCCGTCCCGCGGGGGGTCAATGATGCCCACAAGTCCCAGGAATGTCAGCTTCCCCAGCTCGGGCCCCGATGCCAGTGCCAGCACTGTGGACAGATGAGGTGGAGGGTCACTGGGGCCCAGGGAAAATTTGCTGTCCCCAGCCGGCCCCCAGTGGCCCAGTGCTGCATTCCCACACTGGCGGGCCCTCCCAGCAGACCCTTGGTGCCACAGAGCACCCGAGCCAGGGAGGAGTGCCAGGAATAAGATGCCCAGCAGGGGGCGGCACTTGTCCATGGTGGCCTAGAGTCCCACCTGCCCAGCAAGTTTGGCCACAGAGCTTGTGAGGGGCTGCAGTGCCAGTTACCACTCTGCACTTGCTCCATGGCAGTCATCTTGTCACCTCCAGTAGGTAAGTGGCCACTACCGAAGGCTAAGAAACGCTCATGCTGGAGCACCATGGTGGAGAGGATTCTGCCTATGGTCCTGTCTTGACCATGGACAATGGCACTGAACCAGCCCCACTGCTGGGGACCGAGTGATCTTAAAGGTGGCAGTGTGCCAGCCTTTGTCACCTTTCTGACACCTGAAGGGCGTTGTGACTCAGAAGCCTCCAGCAGTACTTCCCTGTGGCATAGTCATAATGCTAATGGTTAATAGAGCTGGGGCCATGTGCTAACACTGTCCCATGTGCTAATTATATTAGTTCTATGTGCTAATTACATCAGTGCTGTGTGTTAATTATGTCATTGCCTCTGCTGATTGTGCCAGTGCCATATGCCAATAGGGCTTCTGGCATTTGGCATTAATATTATGCCACCCCTTTCCTGGGGGCTATGCATCTCTTCTGTCCCCTTAGTCCTGGAACTATCTGCAATCATTCTGTAGCAGAGTCCCAACTCCTGTTCTGTGCCGCTGTCCCTGGACTTTCTTCCCCACTGCCATCAGCCTGGTTACCTTTTCCTTGATGTGTGTAGGGAGAAAGCTCACAGCCCAAACACTCTGGGGCCCTGGCCCATGGTAGGCGCTCTGTCCACTCCCTGGCTAAGGACAGTCCCTCCAGTTTCCCCACCAGTCCCAGGCCTGGAAGACACGTGGGCCTTCTCTGAGGCCGGCAGGCAGATGCGAGTTCCTTTGTGAACATGGAAAGCGCCTGTGTGACTGCAGGGGTGTGGAGGGTCTGGCCGCCTCCCTGGAAGCACAGAAACAGTCCCTGCGGGCATCGGTGCTCTGCAGCCGCAGACCTGGGCTCAAATGGTGGCTCCATGGAACCCACTGGGATCACCCTGGCACAGTCCAGGCCTCAGTCTTTGGGGACACTTTGCCCAGTACCTGGCAGCAGGCGGGGCCCACGTGCTGGGAGAAGGAACAGATGTGGTGGCCTGGGGCCCGCACCTGCCGGGAAGTCCGTGTTCATGGTGTCTCCCGTGGGACCCCCGCCACACTCAACCCACAGGTGGCATTTGGTGCCTGGGGGCTCCGCCTTGCCAACTCCACGCTGCTGCCCGTCATCTAACACCCTGCCCCGGCACAGCCCACCAGCAGGGTTACGTGCAGCTTGGAGTCCTAGGCTGGGCCCCGACACTGACCCCGCAGGCCGAGCGACCCCATCCTCTTCTGCTCCTGCAGGCAGAATGCCTCCTGCTGGGGCGTCAGAGGCAGGGCGATGCCCCCATTGTTGTACGTGGTACAAGAGCGGATCACTTCCTCAAAGGCCCCCTTCATGAAGTAAATGTCATCCTGGTCCTTGGAAAAGACAGAAGGAAGAATCCACTGTGAGGGGTGCCTCTGCTACTGTGACCATCACCTCCTTCCGCACCGACACAGGAACGTTCATGGTGCAACTGCAGGCTGTTGCTGTTCACAGATACAGGACAAATTAGCAAGTCATGGAATCCACACAGTGGAATACTATAGAGCCCATAAAAAGAATGAGCTCAATCTTTGAGCTCTACGCGAAGTGCCCTCGTTAATGTCGCCAGGGCCTCTTGTAATAAGGAAGTGGAGGCTCCCAGATACTTTGTCTGAACCGTGGTCCCAAGGGCACAGGTGTATCTGTTGTGTTCCCTGGGGATGGGCTCAGGAGTGAACCTGGACGAGCAGCCCATCTTTTGCCTTACGTGTTTGTTACACAAGCATTGCCTTATGTACTCGGCCCCCCGCTTCCTGTGGGTAGCACGGGGTCGGCAGGTTCCTTGCAGCTTCACAGTCGGGCACCGCCAGTACGGGGAGGGGCTGTTTGTGAGCTGGCACAGAATGGCCAGCCTCACGGGAAAGGCACACGGGGAACAGAAGCCAGCGCAGTCATTATGACTTTGTCTTGAAAACCCCCGCTGCCATGTTGTGAGTGCAGAGCTGGGATCCAGAACGCTGGACACCAGCCTGTAAAGGGCACCCCTTTTGTGAGGAGCAGGCATGAAGAGTGTCCGTCCCAGCCCCAGTGCCAGGCTGCCCGATTCTCCCACTGGAATGCATTACAGTTGTCTCTGCTGGCAACAAATTCCGGCGGCATAAAGAGAATCCCTAACCCTTTGGGCACTCGGAATTCACAAGCCCTCCTTGCAGGACCTGGGAGGAGCTGGGACAGGAGGGGAGGAGACTGTAGGGACATCCAGGCTGGCCACAGGGAAGAGGAGGGCCGGGGCCTGTGTGTGGCGGGAGTCTTTTCTCAAAATGCCTTTTCCATGGAAGGTGTCTGAAAAGCCACAAGAAATCTAAAAGGGCAAATGTAAGAAAAACTAGCCATAATCCTCCCGCCCTGAGCAGCCACTGGTAGTTCACTGTGTCCCTCTTGTCACCTATGACACGTGCACCTGGGTCCATGCACACGTGTTTGCATGTGTCAGCCTATCACGCACACCACTGGGCGTGGCTCTGGGTGCCGTCAGTGACGAGGGATTTTGTCCCCTCCGTGTGACGTGCAGTGAGCTCCTGTGACAGGTGGAGGGTCTCGAGGGAGGAACCTAGGAGGCGGCTCTGCGGCCACAGTGACTGCAGCCGCTGGCTGTACTTCAGGAGGACGGGGACACCGCAGTGAGCGCCTCACCCGCACCTCGCTCTTTGAGCGGCACCTCACGGCCATCCACTTCTGTGCGGAGCTGAACGGGATCTCCTTCTGCCTCACATATGTGTCTCTGATGTCACCCAAGTCCATCTAGGGGAGGAAATGGCGTTTTCAGCAGAGCTGCTCCCCGGCATGGCACAGTTGGCTGGAACGAGCCCAGAGCAGAAGTCCCAGCACTGGGCTCATGGCGAGGGCTTGTCTGTTCTCAAACATCCCGTTCAAAAAAACACAGTCCTTGTTCCCTTGTCCTGGCTCAGACCCAAGGTCCAGGCTTTGCTTCCCTGAACCTCCGTGGGGACGGAATTCTGTGGGGTGTCCGCTTGGGCATGAAAGGCCAGAAGCTTCCCAGAGGACCCTGTGTCTCTGTGGCGGCCCTGATGCCCACACTGGGCCCTGCCAGGCCTGTCACGTGTGTGCTGTGATGGCTTCTAGGCCGTTAGGGATCGAGACTCAGTTTCCCCACCTGTAAACTTGTCTCTGCTGTGCATGCCCCCCAGGCACAAATGGAGGTTCCTGTGGAGCCACAGAGACCACGGGCTACCGCTGGGTACCTTCAGGGGCCTTGGCCCGTCTCTCCCCAGGACCTGCTTGGGGTTCAGGCCGTGGGGTGCCGGAGGGCCCATGCCCCCCCTCCCACGCTGCAGATCCCGGGGTGCACCTTCATGGCCAGCGCGAGCAGGGCCCCCTCCGTGGGCTGTCCCAGCACCGTGCCTCTGCTGATGACGGCGTTGTTGGCCACACAGCCAGCCTGAAAGGGGTCCAAAAAGTGCAGTTAGCATGGGAAGCTGCCCCCAGGGGCCCTGGCTCACCCAGGACTGTGGGGAAGTTAGGCTGCGTAGGAGCTGCCGGGCCATGAGCTGGGCCAGCACCCCTTATGCAGGAGTGGCGCCGGCTCATGCAAGGGTGGCCATGCTTGATGCCTCAGTGTCCACAGCAGCAGGCAGCCGTCACACCCGGGTTCCGGCTTCCGCTCTCGGCATGGGGCCTCTCAAGTCCAGCAGCAGCGTCCTGCTCCCCGTCCCTCCCAATCTCCATCAGTCCTGGGGCCACGCTGCCCAGCCCTGGGGAGCAGCCGGGTCACCCAGTGGCCACATGCCTGGCAGTGATGTCCCACGGAGAGACCAGCACACCTGTCCGTGACACTGATGCCACCACACACGCCGTCCTCACCTCCACGAGCTTCCCCACCGAGACGCTGGCGAACTCCTTGATGACCTCCTTGGCCGGGAGAAGTTGTACGGCCCCATGGCCGCTGTAGCCGACGCCGCTGACCTACGGGCATAGCGAGAGTCAGGAGAGGCGCCCCACCGGCCCAGAGTCCCCACGGGGTCCGTCCCTGCATATTAGTGCCTGGAGGGGTGGTGGACAGGTGCCTCTAGACTGAGCCTCAGAGGAGATCCTGCACCGCACCTGCAGCCGGGGATGGAGGCACAGGCAGGGGCCGCGGGGCTGAGAAAACTTCACCTACTACGGAAGGCATCCCGGCCGTGATCGGCTCTCCCTTCCTCTGAAAGCTTCAGGGGAAAGACACAAGCACGCAGGATCCCCTGCCCGCCTGGGAGCCAACAGCAATGCCAGGTGCTCAGGAAACAGAGCAAGTAGTGGGCGTGGCCCAAGTGGCAGAGGTGGGCAGGGAATGGAGGGCTGTGGGCAGCTCAGTGGTCCGCACTTGCCTGGCCTGTTCAAGGTCCTGGGTTCGAGCCCCAGCACCACAAGAAAAAAAAATAAAATTTTTTGTAATATGTCCATTGCAGGGGGGGGAAGGAGGCCATCTTGGCCGTGCTCCCTCTGGTGCTGGCAGCACAACCCCAGTCCCCCTTCCTTGCCACCTCCCAGGAGCCACAGGGGGCTTCCTCTAGGAGAGGCTGGCAGGGCTGTCGTGGCCCCCAGCCCGTGGTTCCGAGGGGGCCTCACCTCTGCGCGGACCCCGTCAGACGTCACCAGCTGGGTCACCGTCATTTCGTTGGCCGTCAGAGTCCCCGTCTTATCCGAGCAGATGACGCTGCAGCAGCCTGGCACCACAGAAAGGCAGCACACGGAAGGGGGCATTGCCACTCAGTCGAGCCGGCCGGCCGCCGCCGCCTCTCCCGCCCCATGTGGGAGCACCCCTCACCCAGCGTCTCCACGATGGGCAACTTCTTCACGATGACCCGCTTCTTGGCCATCCGCAGCACGCCCAGGACCAGCGTCACCGTGACGACGATGGGCAGACCCTCGGGAATGGCCGCTACGGCCAGGCTGGAAGGACAGGCCCCGCAGGACAGTGTGCACCCCAGCCGGGCTGGCAGGCCTGTCTGTGTCCCCCCACGTCCCTGCTGTCCTCTCCCAGTCCCACGGGGCCCGGCCTGCCCTTCAGCGCCCATCCCCTGAGCCTCCCTCTGCTTTGGGAAGTGACCTTCCTGTCAGACAGTCACGCCTTCTCATGAATTAGTGTCTGTCAAGGTCGCTTTGAGTGCTTTTTTTTGGTGGTTGTTGTTTTATTATTATTTTTTTGAGACAGGGTCTCACTGTGTAGTTGAGACTGACCTGGAACTCACTATGTAGCCCAGGCTGGTCTCGAACTCACAGCGATCCTCCTGCTTCAGCCTCCCGAGTGCTGGGATTATAGGTGTGCACCACCACTCCTGACTCACTTTAAGCACTTTTACATTTGAATTATTCTCATATATTAGAGAGAGAAGTGTCTTTAGGTCCAAAGAACTTCTAGACTCTGGCAATAAGCCAGAAATGGCAGTTTGGGCAGCATGAGGACCTCCCTGGGTCCTGGAATTTCACCATTCGGTATTTCCTATGGGGAGGCCAAACAAGGGCATCAAAGTGGAGGCTTCGGCCATGGGGTAGATTATTCTGGGGGTCTGCTCTCTTTCTGCCAGCCCTCCCACCCCGTACCGCATGGCCCTGCTTTCCGCGGCTGTGCTGAAGGGCTTCGAGGACAACTTGTGACCGGGCTGTCTTCCCTGGGGAGTGACATGGCACTGAGGCTGGCAGATGTCCCAGGTCCTTCTCCCCACCCCCGGAATGGGGAGCTGGCGAGGCCTGAAGTCTGCTTTGAATACACTGGGGTGGACCCAGGTCAAAGATGACTGGTGTAGTCGGTCACCGTGGAAGCTTACGGTGGTTACCTGGTGTTCACCTCACTGTTCTACTTTGATATTTACTTGAACTCTTACTTTAAAACATTTAAGCAATAAATAGAAAAAGAAACTGCAATGACCCAGTCAGTCATTGTTATGGTTTGGACTTAGACGCTCCCCCAAGCCTCGCGTGGTCACAGGCTGGATCTGGAGCGTGTGACGCTGGTTCACGATGCAGTGCCAGGCTCAGGGGCGCCAGGGTTAAGGGTGTGAGTGCTGCCCGCCCGAAGGAGCCTGAGTCAGACGAAAGGGGTGGGGAGACGCTGTTAACGCTCTTGTTGCCTTTGCTGCCTTGTGTGCGCCATCCTGTTCCTGCTCTGCCAGGCCTGTTTGCCATCCCAGCCTCGGAGCCAAATGATTATGGACTGAACCCTCCATGCACTGTGAGCCAAATAAACCTCTTCCCCTCTAACTTTGGGCGTCGGGTATTTTGTCTCAGCAACAGGAGAGAAAAGTAACCAACACAGCCATCAACAGACAAACAGATGCAAAATCGTGGTCCTGTCCACACAAGGGAGCACTGTGCAGCCCCAGAAGGAGGGAAACTCTGATACCGCATTATAATATGGATGCAAGAGGCCGAGAGCGAAGAGCCAGGCACAGGGCCACCGAGCGCACGATCCATTCAGGTGACACCTTCAGAGCGGGTGAATCAGAGACAGAGCCAGGCCGGTGACTGCTGGTGATCAGGGTATGGACGAGGAACTGGCAGGGGTAGCTAAAAGGACCCAGGGTCTTTTTTAAGGCAAAGTCTCAATTCTTAACAGATTAGCAACAAATTCCAACTTTGACAAAAGGGAATGGTTTGAGCAAATCATAGCGTGGCTGTGTCTCCCCTGGAGTGTCCAGCCGAATGGACACAGCCACTGCCTGCCACGGCACCAAATGGGAGGAGCAAAGGCCTGTGGGGACCCCAGTGCGCTGGCCCAGCACGCGGGGCTCCTGGACGAGGAGGCTCTGTCCCTGTCACACACACACGGCCGCCGCACCTCCCTGGGTCTCAGCTGAGGGCAGAGGACTCCACCATTCGGTGCACGCAGCAGAGAGCAGAACAGCGCTCCCTTCACGCAGCTGGGACCCCCTTCCGGCACCGCTCATCAGAGCTGACTGGAGAGACGCGCACGGCAGCCACTGCCCCACACAATGACCATCTCGGAAACAAGTCATGTAAGCAGGGTCGCCGGCGTTCGCCAAAGGGCTGTGCCCCGTTTCCATGGTGACAGCAAGGCGTCTTTGGTTTGAAGCCACAGGCGGGCGAGGCCAGCTGAGCAAACATTTGCCGAAGGTTAGGAGGGGACAGGCCCTCGCCAGACGTGGAAAGGGCCTCGGATGTGTCATGGTGATAAAAGATTAATCCGCAAGCTAATAAAGATTAGAAGGGGCCAGGAAGAGCAAGTCCTTGGGGTCACCTCGGATGTCACCAGGAAGGAGGATGAAGTCTTGAACAGTTGTCTCTTTGAACAGTTGTTCCTTTGGTGAACCTAGGTGGCCGTTTTCTGCTGAAGGTTTCCACCTTCCCCTCAGGGTTCCGGTGACTTCAACCTGCCGCTGAGAGCTGGAAGTTTGTACCCACTCTGTATCAGCAGCGGAAGGAGGGAATATTCTCCCTCTGGGCAAGTTCCCCACAGCTGAGTGGTGAACAAGTTCAGCAGGGGCTTTAGGATGGGGCCAGAGTGATGGCTGGAGGGGCGAGACTTTCTCATCCCAAGATGTTTCTTAGTCTTTCCGGCTCCGGGCTTTTCCTGGTCTGCGTTTGCCCCTCCAGGGAGGTTTCCAGTGCCCTGCTTGCCCCAGGGTCCTCCGGGGCTCAGGTTTCCCGCCTGCCCTGCCCCTGAGGCTGCTGCCACCTGGCACCGTGAGGGGCCTCTGCCTCTGCACTCTGGGTGACAGGTGTCACCGCCACGCCAGGCTGGGGAAGCTTCCCCATCCAGCCTCACTGCCACAGTGCCCTGGGGATCTTGTTAGAAACACGGAGGTCAGGCCAGCTGTTTAACCCCCTTCCATGGCCGTCTCCTCTTCTGGGAGGTCACTCGGTCACAGTCCCCAGCACCACTGGCCTCCTGCCCCACCTCCATGTCCCATTCCTCTGCCCCAAAGACCCGCAGGATGCCAGGCACGGTGTACGTGGACCCGGCCACATGGTTAGACTGGGAGAAAGAGGGCTGCGAGGTGCCCCATCCATCTCTAACAGGCCAGGTGTCCTGCTGCCCGAGGGCCAGCTGGATGTCCTAGCGCCGTCCCCCGGTGGTGCCACCTGAGCCCTGTACCTGGCCCCAGGCGGGTCCTTCCTGCTCCCCCACAATGGCTCTTCCACTCCCTGCCTTTAATTCCACATCAGAGCCACCCAGCCACTGCCCTCTGGTCACCTCTCGCCCTTTCATCCCTCGGCTTCGGCTTCCTCTGTGCAAACCTTCTGTTTACCTTCTCTACCTGCCTGGCAACGCTGCAGGACAGAGACACCGGCCGGCGTGTAGGGGAAGCAGACAGAGGCACAGGTGCTCCGTGGAGAGGCCAAGCTGCCCGGCACCGAGGGCGGGACGTGGGGGTGACCAGAAGGGCTCCTGCCCAGGCAGGGGCAGCGCGGCCCAGCCTGGGACCAGGGCCATACACATGCTGTACCCACCCTGCCCTGTGGCCTCCTACCCGCCCGAGCGGAGCCCGCCGGCCCTTACCTGACCCCGATGGTAAACATGCTGAGCAGCGGCTTGCCCTGCAGCCAGCCGATGAGCGTGATGAGACCTGTGGGAGACAAGACGGGCGTCTGTGTGTGCCCCACATGCCCCATGTGGCCACCACACGGACCTCACAGGAACCTGCACAGGGAAAGGAGCAGCCTCAACACATTCAGCCACTCCACAGAGCGAGGGCTGGCCAAGAAGGCATGTCCCTAACCAAGGCAGGTGGAGTTTATTCACTCAACAAACACACAGGCCCCGGGGCTCTGTTTCACAAGAGCCTTCCCAGAAACTACAGGATTCCACACCCCTGAAAGCCCAGGGCACAGACGGCAGAGGGCAGTGCTAACGGGTGGGTCACTAGAGGCAGCGAGGCCTTAGGCTCAGACCACCACTGTCTGGGCATCCACCTGAGCCAGGTGAGGTGCCCGGGAT